GAGACAACAGCGACCCACAGAAAGTGACTGTGGTTTGATTTGCCCAGGAAAGACATTATGACATCACAGCCAGCAAGAAGGTGCTCAGGTTCTAGAGCAAAGGGCACAACAGCCATGAAAAGAAGGTAAGCGTTTGCATCCAGCACAGAAAGTGTAGAAGATTTCCGGAGTCCAAAAAACCAGCTCCATGTCACCAAAAGACATGCCCATGAGCATTTAAAGGAAATACTCCCACTAGGCAAGCAACAACATCCGTACTTCCTTGCACCCAAAATACTTAATTTTCCCAGGGCAAGGCACATTGAGCGATGGACAGAAAGCACTCCTCATAGATCCTATTAATCTAAACGGGAGTGCTAAAAGACGAGCATTAGCTCCTTCTGGCTGCACCTTCTGAACTGGTTGCAGGGTGCCCTGACCTACAACAGCATCTCGATCATCAAATGACTGTCTGGCAGAGATACATCAACACCTCTGTGTGTGATGGACTGTGCTGGGACGCAGCGGTTATCTCTACAGCTCAACAGCAGCTCCTGTGTGCCCACCAAGGTGGCATTCTGGCCAAAGTGACTGAGCCAGAGATCCAAGTCCTCCTCAGTAGGAAGAGAGACGTCCTCCTTACCCAAGGACTGACTCTGGGTGGCCTTAAGTGTCTGGTCATACGTGACAATCTCTATACAGAGGCTCATCAATTTGCTATGGATCTCCGGACCAAAATCTATGGAGACAACAGCTCCCGCGCCATCGCTGTAGTCCTGGCTAACCCTGTGTGCTTAATCCTCATTGGCCGGAAGGGGATTCCAGGGGGGATACTGGGTATGAAGGCTTTTCAGACTGCTTGGTGCATCAAAGACAACTTGCATCAATAAACCTATGATTGAGGTGATAGCCACTATTCCAGTTGCATGTCCTTCCTTTACCAGTACAGCTTCCAAATGGTGACATGTTCCTCTCCCACCTACACCTCCCGCTTTTGTGAGGCATGCTGGAAAGGAGAACCCGAATCAACTGCTGGAAGCTCCATGGGAATGTTACTCTCCAGAACTCCTGTGGGCCTCAGGAGAGCTTTGCAGGCATTTAGTCTCTTTTGTAATGAAACCAAGCTGGAGATTAACTATCAAAAAGCTAAGGCAATGGCTTTTGGGAAGACCTAAAATCAGGGTCTGGAGTATCAATGGGCATATGGTAGAGCAGGTAACATGTTTTAAATATTTAGGGATGCTGTTGCAATCCTTAGGAGAAAGAAGTGCTTATCATGAATATGTGGCCAAGTTGGCCCAAAGATTGGCTCAGGCTATATTAATATTCTTCTGGACCAATGGCAGGCAGTATATTCCTGCTGCCCTTAAATTGTTTCAGGCCAAAATAATATCTCAACTTCTCTAGGTCTGATATTGTCTAGTTTTGCCCCATTAGAAAAAGTTCAATCAAAATTTATAAGGTCAATTTTTCATATGCCTAGCCTTGTCTCTAATGCTGGTATGAGCTTAGAATCTGTTCTGATCCATACAAAGGCCAGGGTAAGCCTCACCTTTATTAGCTTTTAAAATTACTGCCCACAAGGACTAACTTCTTTAATCCTTTGGGACTGTTTTCATTCATCCTGGCTCACTGCAGTCCATCAAACACTGACATCTTTAGGACACTCACCACAGACTCTTTTAGTGATGGGACTGGATCGGGCAATAGCAATAACCAAACAGAGAGTGTTAGATAACCGAGCAGCAATGTGATATCAGGAGTACCAGATTTTTTGGCACTGGAAAATACCAAATCTATCATTGGAGTCTCCCATTCTTCAAAGGGTCTTCTCTCTAGCAAGATGGTGAGTACTCCCCTCTGTGGTCTTGGAAGGGAGATATTGTAGGATGCCAACTGTAGGATGGCAGAGAGGATTTGCCCTTGTGGTGCTGGAGAAGTTGAAACAACTGAACATGGCTGTTGTTGTTTTTTACTGTTGGTTTTATCAAGAAATATGGGCCAGGTTTATTTCTCATCTTAGAAGGTGAGAAATAAGCCTTAGAAGGCTTAGAAGGTGGCCAGGCAGATCTGATGCAGAGGTTGCTAGGCACCAATGCCCAGTCAACAGCTTGTTGTGCTGGGTTTTTTGCAGCTGCCCACAAGCTCCACAAAGATATTGTATGCAATGCTTTAAAATATTAATTAAAAATTGTAACAGGTAATTTTAAACAATTTAATATCATTTGTTTATTGTTATTTTGTCTTTTAATAGTTGAAATATTTTAGCCTATGGCATTATTTGTAAATTGTTTATTAAGAACTAGCTGGTCACCGACCATCATAAATTGCTCTTATTGCTGTTGCTGCTGCCTTGCAGGTAAGTGATCTTTGCCCTGCTCTGAATGGGGTTGTACTCCACCTAAGGGACAGGGTGCATAGTCTGGGAGTGCTCCTCAACCAAAAGTTATCCTTGGAGTTCCAGGTGACTGCTGTGGCGAGGAGCACTTTGCTCCTGCTTTGGCTGGTCCATCAACTATGCCCTTACTTGGATGAGCAGAGCCTAGCAATGGTGACCCATGCCCTGGTAACCTCCTGATTGGACTACTGTAAAGCACTCTATGTGGGGCTGCCCTTGAAGATGGTCCAGATACTTCAACTAGTTCACAATAGAGCAGCCAGGATGCTAACAGTGACTGGCAGATATACATATATAATGCTGGTCCTTTACCATCTGCACTGGCTTCCAATTGAACTCCGGGCCCAATTTAAGGTGTTGATGATGACTTATAAAGACCTTAACAGTTTAGGACTCAGGTATCTGAAGGAGCATCTCCTTCCATATATACCTGTCTGCCCCCTAAGATCTGGGTTGGAGGTCATTCTTCGGGAGCCCTTTTTGAAGGAGATCAGGAGACTGGCTACTCGGAGAAGGACCTTCTCTGAGGTGGTGTCCCAGCTTTGGAACATGCTCCTCAGAGAGGTGTGTCTGGCACCAACACTTTATTCATTTTGGCACCAGGCCAAACCCGTTTTATTTTCCTAATATTTTAAGATAGTTTTAAAAATGGGTTTTTATTTGTTGTTCGATGCTGCGCTTTATTGTTGTACTACCGTCATGAGACCCAGGTGAAGGACAGGATAGAAATGCTTTTAATCAATCCATAAATATGTATCAATACAAATTAAAGAAACAAGGTTTAGAATTTGTAAGCCGTTCTGAGGTACTTTTTTTTTGCAAAGGACGGGACAAAAATGTTTTAAATGAATAAACAAACACCTTCCAATTCCGCCACTCATTGCCCCCATACTTATTGAGAGGAACAAGTCTCGCTGTAAAGGATACCACAAAGCAGCAAACCAGTAAGTTTAGGCAAAGGGACTTGGTTTAAAAGCCTGTCTTTGGATGGCATCTTTAGCTCTGTCACCTGCTACTCCTACTGGGTGTTGGTGGTCCCTCCAGAGATGCAGAACCACCACAGATTTGAAATAAACAGGGCATCGGTGAAATCTGCCCTCAGACAAGTGGAGAGAAGCTAGCGATGGGGTGGAGGGAACGATTCAGCACTTTCTATGTTATTTATATCATGACACAATAATTAAATCACAGCAAGTACCGGCATGTTCCCCTAAGACTGCTGCCCATGCAGGCCAAATCACACTGCAAGCTGGTGTATTCCTCCAAACTGCAGCAGAACCAAGGAACCCGAAATGCATTTGGACTAAAATGTTCCGCTGAAATCAAGTTAGCAGCTAAGGCTGCCATCAGACAGAACACGGCAGTTTTGTGGGCAGCCATTAATGAGACACTGCATGTTCAGTTTAACTTAGTAAGAAATGTTTAAGGCACTCTTGCCTTTTAACTGCAAAGAATAAAGAAAACTGATAAGGTGGAGATGAAAACATGCACCCATACAGGCCTTGACGAGAAGCTCATGGAAACACTCAGACTGAGACACTCCCTTCCCCTTTTAACTGCACTACATGCAGCGCACCAGAGAACATCATCCATCGTTAAGTACAGCACAACAGGTTAGGGAGAAGAAATTAAATCATTGCCTGCAAAACGGAAGCAGACAGTGGCTTAATGGAACTAGCCCACGGAGACTGGGACCATCCTCGGTTAGCATGCATCGACTTTCCAAGAAGGTTCTGGGTCTACCTTTCTTTACTGTCCTGCGCCCTCGTTCTTCCCAGCTGCTATTCTGGGCATTCCCAGGGTAAGCCCCCACCCCAGTGGCTGCTTAGCATTGCAGACAGCTTTTTCACTGGACTCCAATAATTTCCCAATTCTCTGGATGTAAAATGAATATGATTTTGCAGAATATTGTAGATTTCAAATTGCTGCTCTGGAGAAATCCCTAAGGACTCACTGTCTTGTTTTTTTCAAGCATGATAAACAGCAAATGAATCATAACTTTCCTGTCAACATGATGGTGGAGTGAAGGTGGTGGCTCCAAATCAGAGTCAGACTGCTCAAAGGCAAACCTTTCCACACCAAATTCTATCAGTGATGCATTTATTTGGACACAGTCTTCTGTATGACCCTCATCCAAGACAAAACAGCCATAGTCTGCTTTATTTCCTGGCATACAAAATGGGAGAGTAAGCCTAGCTCACAACCAGCCCCTTTACCAACATTTTCACCACTGCATTGAACCCTTCATCAAGGACAACAGACACTGGTGCTGCTGGGCAATCTGGCGCCCATGGGAACAAAAGCAAGACTGGGGGAAAGGGGCAACATTCCTTTTTCTCCTCCCTGCGTATCATTTTACAGAATCTCCAAGGAGGTCTGCCATTGCTTTTGGCATATAAACTGGCACTACAGGCAAGGCAAAAGCCAAACACTGTCTTCTTCTTTAAAAATCTTATTTCTAAAAAATACATATGCACACACTTTCGGAGCTGTTTAAAGATAAGGGGAAACTATAGGAATGCTTTCATAAAAAGCCTGAAGGGCCTGACATCACACCACTGGGTACGGGAAGGTGCAAGAGGGAACAGACTGGTTGCTGCTACCTGGGAACGCATCCACTCACCTCTGTTTCATCTCCCTTTGCTGCTATTACCAGTATCCCAAGCTCTCCTACAGGGATTTGGAATGAGGGAATTCTCTTCGTTCATCCTGTGCTCCAAGTCAGAGATCTGCCAAACCCCCTCCTGGTTTCTGCTTAAGGTTCCAGTGTCTCAGGAGCACAACACTGGATGACTTCAACACAGCCAGTACAAATGTTCAAATGCAAGACTTGTCCTCCAAAGGGAAGTTGCTTTTAAACTGGATCTGTGAGGAAGGAAGTGCCCTCTTCTTGGCTTCTGCTGCTATTAGAATATAACCCATGGGCAGCTTTACAGTTCTAGAGGCCCTAAGGCAGCAAAGAGTGGCTGATCTTTCTAGGAGAGTATTCTGAGGAACTTTTGGGGGCTCATCAGCTTAGGAACAAGGCACTTCTAGACAGCACAAGTCACTGTTGTTTATAAGAAACTCCAAGAAGGGCTAGTAGGATTGGCACAGGCCTTTACCACCGTCCTCTCTGTCTTGTTACCGATGCTTCTGTTCCAGCAGGGATTCAAAATCTGGTGCGCAGACAAGCTTGTGCTTCACGTGGCCCAGGACAATCATCTCGCCACTCCTACTGTCCCCGATGCCCACTGACACAAGTTCCTTCCAAGACCAAGAAAAAAAATGGTTATCACCAAATTTCCCCCAACGTTATGACAAAGGGTAGCCAAGCACACGTTTCTGAAGCAGCTTTCATCCCAAGAGACAGAGGCAGGTGGCAAGCTCAGATTCTGCTTATTGTTGTTGCTGTTAGTCACAAAGTCGTGCTTGACCCATTGCAACCCCACGGACAACATTCTTCCAGGCTCACCATCCCTCGAAGTCCACCCAAGCTCACCCACTGCCCCAGTGACTCCATCCAGCCACCTCATCCTCTGAACAGAGTCTGAGCATCACCCAAAACCAGCGTGGGAAATCTAAATCTACCTTGTGCCATGACTTATAGAGCGCTCCATTGCAATGGGGGCTGCTCCCATAAGTTCTGCGTGGAAGGATCTCTGGATGGGTCATGCTACAGGTTATTTTAGTGGGAGGGTTTGTAACGTTCCGATGTTCCATCTGGGACACCTAAAAGTCTTGGAACATCTCGGATTACCTGAACAATTGTCCCACTCTTATCCTGGAAGCTCAGGGTTGGTGACAGCATGATATTAAGAATACAACACACCCACCCCACCATGGTTAACTGTCCAGCCCCCACCCACAAGTCTTATAACAGGTCTCCATAAATCGAACTTGCCTTCCTTGGCAGTTTGACAAAGATCCTCTGACTTTCTAGCTATATGGAGAGGGGCATTAAGAGGGTGCTGTCTGCTGATGTTATGGGCAATGTCAGAATGTGGGGAAATGGGCAGCATTTAAGATGGGGGTTCTTAAAGCCCTTTTTTTCCAGAAAGGCTCATGGTTTGGTCAGTCCTCCTCCAGGAACAATCCAGGATACCCAGTGAAGGCTCACTGGGGAAGAAGGTAGTTAAGTCCTTAGTGGAGGTTCTAGTGGCTCCTGTGTGTGGTGAATCTGAGAAGTTGGAACATGTTCCAAACCACTGGGAACTGTCTTGCATTGGGTGTTGGCAACTGCTGAGACTCTAGGGTTGCAGAAGGGCTCGCCAGCCCCTGTATCAACAGTTACTGTCGCCTGTCCTCTGCCTCTGGGGAGGAGCAGGACTGCCCCTTCTTTGCGTCTGTTCTGTGCTGTGGCTTGCAACATCTCTTCTTCTCCCTCCTCTGCTGCCAGAAAAGCAGAGGACAGGAATGTGTTTCCAGCGCCAGGAATGAATGGCGTTTAATCTTTTAACACAAAAATCCACTTCTGGTTACTCCAAGCCATCTTCATTTCAGCAGTATTAATTTCGGGTGGGGAAGCTTATTTTGCTGCTGTTATTTTTACAGAGCTGAAAGTCAGAAATCCTTGCTGATTTACTGCAAATTAATGAGAGATTTTTGTCTAGAACTGGCTCTACATTCTGCCCACGCCTGTATTACCTAGCCAACAAAGCCAGGCTTGGCACTCAGCTGACAAGAAGCTGCCTCCAACTCCTCTGCAGACTCTCTGTCTGAGCACATCTCTTTGACAAGTACATTTGCCAACTTGCCCGTGCTGTTACTTTCACACGCTACCTTTTCAGGTGCACACTTGGCCTCAGTACAAAGGCTAGGACCAGATCAGGCCATGAAGATGGGAAGTTAATACAGCCAGGGCAGTCAATAAGAGTATGAGTTCTGCTGAATCAGGAAAGCAGCAGTAAGACAGATGTTTATGAAAAACCCACAAGCAAGACAAAACCCCTGTCTATGTTTGTTCTTCTGTAATTGGTATTCAGGCACAATGTCCCTGAACATGGAGGCTTTACTAACTTGCCGGCCGGATCTAAGTCACATACTGCTATAATGAATGTTTCTGAGCAACCCATACCTGAAGGAAAGAGCAGGGAGTTCCTGGGGTCACATCTAGAGTCACTCTGCCCAAAACTAGTTGCACCTTCCCTGATTTGCGGATCAGCAGCTTCCCCACTTGCCCTTCAGACAGGTCTCCCAGGGTGCAGATGTTCTCTGTTTCCTTGATTTCCTGAAAAAACATAGAGAGTGGTAATTACAGCCAAGCCTTTTTCTTACAGAGAACCAATCTTGTACTATTTGTTAGCTGTCATTGTGCTCTCAAGAGTTGAGAGCCAGCATAAAAGAGATTTCCAGGTCTGTGTGACCTTATATTGCTGTTGCCGGAGTTGTTTGTACTCTGTGGTCAAAAATGAAGAGAATAAGCTCAGGGTTCTATGCCTGAGCAAAGAAAGCAGAACCCTGAGACTACAAATCAAGTGAGTTTTTCTTAAGTTCATCTGCTGCTTCACCTGGTCTTGTTCTGATGCAAGAAGCTAAAATTCGAACATTTACAAAGCAGCCACCAGCAGAAAATGTAAGCAGCAAGATCTCTCATTTCTGATGTACCCCCACACTTTGCCCACACCATTTTTCAGTACACCTTTTCCACCGTAAGGGCTAGAAGCATTTAAAACATCAGCAAGAAGAACTCTCTCTGTCCTGCACTATGTTAAGCAGGTTTTCTGCACCCTCACATTCCTCCTTATGGCCTTTAGGTGGTGGTGCTGGTGCTGGTCCTGCTTTTCCTCCTCTTGCAAGGAACCCAAGGTGGTTCACCTAGTCCTCCTCTGCTCCATTTTATCCTCCCAACAACCACATGAGGTAGGTGAGGCTGAGAGTGAGAGACCAGCCGAAAGACACCCAGTGAGCCTCATGGCCAGGTAGGGATGGCCAGGTTGTCCCCAGGCCAACACTCAAAGGAAAATCCTATCCAATCCTATGCCACTTCCTACTGCAAAAGGAGGCAGGCTTCCCATACCTGGTTCTTCTCTTGCTTTATAACCATCACCTGCCCGTCCTCATTCTGCACCTCCGTCTTGATGGGCTTGGTGTCTTGGGTGGGTGGCTGCCCGGGCAGCGTATCTGGGAGTTGCAGGAAGAGCAACTCATCCTCTTTGCAGAGGTTCAACCTTTGCAGCAGCTCGGCCACAGAGACATCCTGAGGGAAGGGAGGTGGTGCCTTTGCAGGCACATGTCTGAGGGCCGGAGGTGGCTCATCTTCATCACGGGGCTCCTCTTTCACTAGAATAAGACACAGGAGAGGGGGTTACAGAGCTGGAAGGGATGAGGTGTCATATGCTTAATCCCTAGCCCAGGCTGTTCGCTTCCCTCAGACCACCCTAAAGTTCAGGGTTAAGTTGAGATTTGAACTAGAGGAAGTCGGCTCACATTTCCAACCACTGTACAGTCGCCTCCCTCTTCAAGCCACAGCAAAAGCATGCTCTGATTATGCCATGCTGTGAGCAGATACACCAGGCCAGAGATGCTGTCGGGGGGGTTGCTTCTGGTTCGGCATACTCTGACTTAACCACAGGGCAAGGCTGCTCCTTGATGCAGGAGGAAATAGTGCAAAAATGCAAGCAAAGCCCATGAGCCCTTCTGGTTTAGCATTCCATTTCTAGCAGTGGCCAGCCAGATGGCGCTGGGATGCTTATAAGAAAAACCATTAAAAAAAAAAGTATCATCCCCCGCAACACACAAGCCTATTGCTTGTGCTCCCAGGAATCTGTTCTCAAAAGATAAGCTTTCCCAGACACCGAGAGCTCTGTTGAATTATCAAGGATAACAGCTACCGGCAGACCTCTGATCCTCCAGGGATTTGTGTCACCTAGGCCAGTGGCTGCCACCACATCTTGCAAGAGAAAATGCTGCACGAACCGCTTTCTTTCCTCTCTTCTGAACCTCTTGCCTAATCAGACTCTTTGTTCAAGAGGAAGAATGGCACCTGCAGGATGGTTTCATGGCAGAAGAACAGAGCAAGGCCTCGGATTCAACAGCTAGTTATATGATCCGAAGAGGGATTCTCTATAGACCAGCCAGGTTTGGGCTGTTTTAAGGGAACCTACCTTTCACGGAAGAGACATCTACTTCCATCTCCTCCTCCTTGGGGCTGGAGCTCAGAGGCTTGACATCCTCTTGCTCATCACCTTCCTCCTTGAAAAGCCAGCCTGAATGGGCCAGAGGCAGCTGAACTGGCTTGTTCCGGATGTCATTTTTCAAGCCCGGGTCGTCAAGGAACTGGCACCAGAAAGGCAGGAGAGAAAGAAAGGAACTAAGTGCCTATTGTTACTTATTCAAGCATTACATCTGAAGGGACGCAGGCATACAGATACCCCGATGGAGTTTCACTGAGGCATCAGATTCCACCTGCTATTTCATCAACAGCTGACAACATGCCAACAACACAAAGAAATCATTTTTCAAGCTCAGGCTTCCCAAGGCCTCCCCACTCCTGCGTCCCACATGATCTCAAAAGAACGAAGCAGAAGGGAAGTAACGGTGACCTGGATAAGGAAAATGAATAAAAGATCACCATGCGGAGCACTTTCGTAGGAAAAAACCCACTTAGTCTAGTCCACATGTGCAGCATCAACACCCCAAGGCCATAAAGAACAAGGTCTTCCCAAGCCTTCCAAGCATCATGACGACACAAGCCTGGCAGGGTTCCCTGGGAGAGGAATTCCATAAAAAGGAAGCCCCCTGCCCCTGGAGCTAAGGTGCACCACTTTGGGCTGGACCACTTCAAACAGCTTATGGCACTCACATGAAAGGATTTTTTTCCATATAAAAGCATTGCCTCTAAACAGCAAATTGGAATGCCTAGAGAAAACGGCTCGAAACCTGGCCTGCCATGTTTTTTTATATGCAGAGAACCATTTCATATGGAGGAGCATTCTGACATGTGTCTCCAGTCTGAAGTCCTGTGGTACAGCTAGGACTAGATCAATTCAGCTTCAACCAGCAGCAGTTCATCACTTGATGGGGGCGTTGGAAAAGTCCCTTAAAATTTGTTGCAGCTTTTTCCTACTCTGTCCAGGAGTTTCCATGGGCAATCTGGTTGGTGAGCAACTCTGGGATTCATCAGGTTGCTGGGAAAGTGCCACTTTATTGCTTCTTCCTCCTGACACACACTTTGATGATTTATGGATCTTCATCCACTTACAGTGAGGTAATTACAGACCTTCAATATTCAAAGAGCCCAATGCTTTCAAACACTTTACTGCAATGAGAGCAACTGCTGCTAATCCACATTCACAATCCAAAGTACATTAAACTATTTATCAGAAGCAAATATATAATTAAATTAAGGAAAGTATGGATGAGAAGGAATGGATTGACAATAGATGGTACAGAGTCAGTGGAGTCAAATTATCCCCACATTGCAGTCTGAAGCAGAAACCCTGGGAGCTGTTCCCGACAGCCTTGTAATGTACTATACTACTATCATCCAAATGTTAAATGGTGGAATTTTGGAAAAGTGTAAGGAGTAGTATGACATGATAAGAATGAGATTAAATGTTAGAAGAGTGAAGAGTGAGTGAAATAGAAAAATACCAGAGGACATGACAAAGAAATGTCAGAAACTAACTTTTTGATGCCAATATGAAGACTGACAGGAAACCAATTTAAGGATTAAGAAAGATGATACCAGGGTCAGAATCAAAAAAACTAATTTTGCAGAGATCTTTCAAATTGTTTAGACCAAAGTTACAGCAAAAAAGGAAAAACCAATAAGGAATCTCCTATGCTCTAGCAGTCAAGAGCTGACTATACTTTTAGCACTATGAATGGATAATATACTGTGCAAATTGAAAAATGCTTTAAATGAAGCAGCAGAATTCAGCAGCTTCTTAAGTACAGGAACAAAATGAGGGGAATGGAGAGTGAGAGAATGTCACAAAAATAATTCCAAGACTGCATGCTTCAAAAAAACAAAACAAAACACAGAAGGCTTAGTGGAGTTGGTTGCTAAGATTATAACTCCCATCTTATAGTTGGGGTGTCTCCATTCATGTGAGTCAAAGGTTTACCATGAACATTACCCCAAAGATGGCTACCCTCAAACTCACATCATCCTTCTCTAGCATGCGCAGAATCTGCTTGGTCTCCTCATCTGTCTCTCTTTTCTCTTTCTTTATGTTAATGATGTGGGATGGACCAAAGTCAGATACATCCACAGTCTTATCCCAGGTGCCTGTGCAGAAAGGGAAAAGGGCACTGTTACAAGCAGCACAAATATCTAAAGACAAGTAGAGTGCTTAGCGCTATCCACAGTGGAGAGCTGTCTGCATGGTAATATCACCTGCTCAAGGCAATTTAAAAAATATATACGTAAAGAGGCCTGACAGGACAGGTGAACATGTTTTTATGCGGTTACTCATTTATACAAGCACAGAGTGGAAGTGGTAAGAATAGCAGACTAGGAAAAAGATTTCCAGGCCCGGCACAGCCCAAGGAATGATGGATACTACAATTAAAAGGTAAATGTAGATCTAAGGCTCTAGTATTTCAAGCGCTGATCAGTCAATTCCAAAATATTTTTACTTCCATGCATTGAATTCACTGTTTGACCTTCCAGTGGCATCTTATGACACATGATTCAGCATCCTTTCATGAATGTCCTACTATGATTCTTGTATTGCCTGTCATGGCAACTCACTGATCCAGCACCCCTAGATCCAGCTTTACTCTCAGATGCCCAGGGCCAGGACTGCATTGCCCAGCTTCAACTGGTACACCAGCTGCATTCAGCCCCATAGAAACCAGATTTAGCCAATTGTGATAGGCCACAAATGGGTTGCTGCAGGGTGCCCTATGCAAGAGTGCCGCATTTGAAGACTGCTGAGAAGTCTTGCCCTGAAAGCAGCACTGTCCTTCCAAAGGGGGGGTGGGCAGCAGCAGCAGCAGCAGCAGCAGCAGGTGCCTCCTCTTCTGTGATGGAGACCCAGGGTGGTGCAGCGGTTAAGAGCACGAGGCTGGGACTCAAGCCATCTGCGTTCTAGTCCCCACTTGGTCATGGAGGTGCATGAGTGACTTTGGACCAGCCATTTCCAATCTGAAAGCTAATTCAAAGTGTCCAAGCAAAAGACTGAAGGGGCTGTCACTGGTTCATCGCTACTTTTTGCAAAAGAAGAGAAGAGAAGCACAAGAAATTCACATAAATTTTTTGTTCAGTTAAAAAAATGGGGAGGGGGTTCAAACTTTTACACATCTGAAATAGCAGCCTTTCCTGGGCAGTGTCCTGGGGACACTCACTGTTGAGATAACAAATACAGCTCTTTGCAAGGCTTTTGCTGCACTTATCAAGAGGATTGCTTTCTACTTCCCACCAACCATAACAAGGTTCTTTGCCCACATTTGGGTGACAGAAGAACTCCTAAAACAATCTGCAGGTGGTTAAGGTGGCTGGCATGGTAGGCATGTCATGAGTGGAGCCCGCTAGAGCCAGGGGTCAAACTAGATGGCTCAGGAGACCCCTTCTGACTAGCAATGTTTCTATGTTTCTACCCATGAACAAGCTGCCTATGGGAAATTATCTGCAACTGCATGATACAACAACCCATCACGCTTTGTCACTCACAATGAGTTGCTGTTTTGTGAAATAGGTCAATAGGTATGATTTGAGTATTTCAGCCTTAAGCAGAAGCATGAAAAGCAGGTCAAAAAGTCCTCAGCAAAGAAGAGATATTTCCCCCAATCTGTTGATATCAGAAAACTCATCATACAGACGGCACTGCCTCCATTGATACTTGGCTAACCTCTCCCGGACTACCAGCTGCTGAGATTATGCAAGTGTGCCATGAAGTTCGGAAGTCAACCAAAAACATTCCAGAAGCTTTTCAAGTCCTTGTCACAGTTGCACCTCAAGATAATCTGCAACTGATCAATCGGGACTCAAGTCACTGTTTATTTATTCTTAAGTGAAAAAGAAAACCACAGAAAGGGTACCAAGTGCAGAGGAAAGCAGAAGGGTCTTTTGGCTAATTTTGGGGGATGGTAGGGGTTGTCTGTGTCCCAAAGCATGTATCTTGCCCACCCCGACTGAATTCAGCATCATATTGGATCTGCAGATGGACAAAGGTTTGAAAGTAAAAATTGGACTCTGAATTGTACAGGCTAGTTGTTCACATAAGTCTTTCACACACCTTTCTTTTTCATCATTTCTGCTGGTCCTTGCTCAAAGATGGAGTGAGACTGGATGACCTCTGGCCTCCCTCGGCCTCGTCCATGACCATCTCTCTGCCGGTCTCGATCACGCTCCTTTTTCTCTTTCTTGATGGAAATATCCTCTTTTGGTCTAAGAAGAGCAGATCAAATAAAACCACAATAAAATCAATGTTATCTGCCCTTCTTACTTAACATGCGTTTTAATATATCTAGAAGATTTCCAAGTCCTTTTCCATCAGTAGCTTCAAGAGCTTTCTCTGTACTGTTTTATGAGTAAGTCAATTCAAATGTGCAGAAAAAGCACATTATTTGGCCTTTGTGAAATGAACCTCTTTATAAAGCAATGTGAGATCTCATGTTTGAATACTATTCAACCTAACAGATTTCCTGCATGTGAAAAGCTAGAGTGTCAGGAAGATGGCTAAACTAAAACCCTTTCTACATGAGCCAAGTTCTTGAATAAGCTGATCTCACGTGAAAGCATGAGATGGCCCTTGCTGCCAACACGACACATCATTGCCCCAAACAGTTCTACTCATCACTAACTTGACACCCTGTTCATTCAATGGCCACTCCACAGAGACAGGATCAAAAGGCCACTTACTCTTCTTTGATTTTCCTGGTAATTATGTTGGGGGCAAATGTTTTCTAGAAAAAGAAAGGAAAAAAACATGAGAACCATCAACCCATGTATGTACACACACACACACACACACACACAGAGTGAGTCATTGGATGAGTGAAATTTCTCACAGAACACAACAATGACAAATAAGGGCTCCAATATACTTGTTTTTGTCTTCAAATTTTTGGAAGGGAAATGTTACCAGATTCTAGCCTTCATATTTCTAGAATGTGTACTTCAAAAGGAGAAAAATGTGCCTTTCGAATGGCTCCAACATTTAAGGGGTGGAGCTTCTGTGCTCTGCATGGCTGCCAGACTCTCTCTGGCTTCCACAAATGTTTTCCACACCATGTGCCTCTAACAGCCATTACTGACACATTCCTTTTCCCCTTTCCAAAACAAAAAAAAGATCTGCAAATACTTAAGTATTAGGTTTAGAAGGAAGCATGAAAAATTGTCTGTTCCCTAACGATAAAAAGTAAATATTGCAGAACTATACATTTGCATTCATGCGCATTTTCTCAGCACAGAGCAGCCTTGGCCAGAGAAAAGTTGATTTTATTTCTAGGATGGAAAATGCTTCACAGCCCTTAAAAAATCTGCAAGATAGACCACTATTATAATGGCTGTACATATTTGATTCAATCAAGGAGAAGTCATAGTATTTGAAATCCTGAGAATCTTGACTTGCCTTTTCTTTTTAAAGCAAGTTTCTAAGCCTTACCACTGCAAAACAAATTTCCAAAGTCTCAATGTTTGATGACATAAATTACTGAAGTCAAAGGAAGGCACAGCAGAAACCCCAGCTTCTAGGTCTTCAAGGATCTTCATGGCTCTTTGCTCCCCACCCCCATGATTATCAAATGCAGAGCCACTTTTTGGAAACAACAAGGATCTGCATGACAAAAGCCAATGTGGTCTGAGTGCTGGACTGGGGATTGGGAAGATTGAGGTTTTAGTCCCTGTGCAGCCACAAAGCTCACGGGGTAACTTTAGGTCAGTCAGGACTCCCAGCCTAACCAACTTCACAGGCTTTTTGTGAAGGTAAAATGGAGAAACTTGTAAAACACCTGGGATCCCTTGCAAGAGGAAGAAAGGTGAGATATGAATGTGATGCCTTCATTATCAAATGCTATATTCAGTTTTTCTAGGCACAAAATTTGGATTACATGGTGCAGACTTGTGATTTTTAAAAAGCAACTAAGTACACTGAACCATATTTGCCTTTTTTTACATAACGGAAAACTGAGGGCTTGATTTTATTAGCTGCAGGTGGTGCAGTGGTTTAAGCCGCTGGGCTGCTGGGCTGGTTGATCCAAAGGTCGCCGGTTTGAATCTGCACAACGGAGTGAGTTCCCGTTGCTCTGTCCCAGCTCCCGCCAACCTTGCAGTTCGAAAGCATGAAAATGCAAGTATATAAAAAGGTACCACTTCGGTGGGCAGGTAACAGCGTTCCGTGCATTTCGGTGTTTAGTCATGCCAGCCACATGACCACGGAGACTGTCTGCGGACAAACGCTGGCTCCCTCGGCTAGGAAACGGAGATGAGCACTGCCCCCTAGAGTCAGGCATGACTGGACTTAATGTCAAGGGGAAACCTTTGCATTTACCTTTATTCTAAAATACATGTCACAAACAGGAATGGCAAAGTGTTAGGAAGCTCAACACAGAACAGGTCCAACTACATTTCAGTTTCAGAAAATATACAGTTAATTTACAAGCCCTAATCCAGTGTAACTTCAAAGGAGACATAAAAGACATGTTGTCCTTCACACTCAGGACAGTGGTACTGAGTGCATTAAACAGACATAGGAATCACTCCAGCTTCTTTTACTTGGTACTCCTCCTTTATATTGTATTAAAGTCAAAGTAAATCATCTCAAGTAAACATCTTGGTATGCAGCAAATTGGTTCCAGTAGTTAACAAATGCAGTTCGCTTCATATAAAAGCTATTAGCATATACAATTCGCTCAACTACTCCTGTCAAACAGGTCACTTAAACCATTTCAACAACCTTCCAACCTTCGTTAGTAGAGATATTTTAGTTGGCATTTCATAATCATCCTTCTGGAAGCAATCCCAACCTCTGCTTTTGTTAATGTTTGTTATAAAAACTAGTTCAGACTGAACTAGATCTTTCAAATAGTCCAAGAAGATGACTTTAGGATCCACTGGAAGTGCAAAAGTGTAACTGCGTAATTAACTCTGAGGTTTATGAACATTCACGCGTCAAAGCACCTCCCTCATAGATTCACCTGCAACAGAAGCATTTGCACACCACAGAGGATTCCTAGGAATATACTAGAGCACAGAACATCTCTCAAGGGCATGAGCCAGGCCTGCTGGACCTCACCATCGCTCCTTGTGAATTCAATGCACTGGTCAAAACACACCCAGCTTTCCCCAGTAACTTGCGTGCTGCAGAAACAGGCAACAGTGAATAATGATCTTGGAGCAGAACTGAGGAGTTCTAAACAACTCTGGCGTTCCTGAAACACAATTTGAAAACTACTACATGATTTTTAAATCTACATCTACCAACAACAATGGTGGTCTCTAAACATGGTATTAGGCATTAAGTACAACCTCTACGGTAATTTGTCAAACATTTCCTTTGGATAATTATGTACAACCATTCCTTATCAAACTAGTTTTGCACATGTAAGAACACAAGCTGCATTGGGCCAGTTGATACTAATGATCTGCTAAAAGCAAAAAGCTACACCTACTTAACAGAGTGTAAGTGCCATTGTCCTAGACTCTTCCCTTTCAGAAGATATGTACAGAATTGTGCTCTTAAGCTCAGAAACCGTTCTTTTTTGTTTGTTTGTTTGTTTTTAACATTCTTTGGTAGCTGATGGTTCAGAGGAAGCATTCAATGCTAAAAGATTACATAGCAAACCACTCATCGTGTATTGTTTATTTCCAGCTTCTGGCAACCGGAACAATAAGATACCATGAGTAGGAGTTTCAGTATTAAATTAGGAACTAATTAAACCTTACTGCTGAAATAGGTGGATAAGTATTACTCCTACTTTCTAGATGAGGAAACAACACATCCACAAAAATTAAGAACTTGTCCAAGGTCGCAAAGGAAACTGGTGCCATGATCTGGAATGAAGAATTTCAACTGCCAGTCCACTGTCCTGATGCTTTATGAACATGAAACCTGCCATTCCAGCCTAAATAAATGCATCCTTCAAATCTCCCTCTAATAACTGACTGCAAAGAATATGGATGAAAAATTTGTCAGGGTTCTCCATACAAAGTTAGACACTGACCTTTTTGACTCCACCAAGGGTCAGGTCTCGGGAGCGAATGGAAGGCAGGCGGCCTGGGGTAATAGGGGCCGTGGTTCTTCTCCCTAGCAGCCCTCGCGCAGTAGTAAGTGTGGGCCGGATGCCAACGGGATGCCCAGGATCATTGCTTGAAGTCCCTTCCGACATCTTTAATTATCTGTTAAAAAAACAGGATAAGCAATTTTCTCTAAAAACATGCCAGCTTCTCACAGTGCTACTGAGTCAAGATCACCATTTCTATAGCAACGCTACAAGATTAAACAAGAAACAGCAGAATGCTACCTGCCCCACTAAGTCTTTGGCAAAGTCTATACAGTGGTACCTCGGTTCACAAACGCCTTCGTTCACAAACAAAGCGGGTCACAAACAAAAATCTCATTAAAATTTTGACTTGGGTCGCAAATTCCACATTGGGTGGCGACCAAGATCGCAGCCATCTCCCCCCACCCACCCCAAGTGGGGAGATGGCCATGATTGCAGCTGCTTTCGTGCAGGAAATGCATGTGTGATCACAGGCGCACTCCTGCAGGAAAGACGGGCACAATCTCGGCCATCCCCCCGCCACAACCAGCGTGATCGCGGCCATCTTCCCTCACCCCCGCCGAGTGAGGAGATGGCCGTGATCATGCTGGGGGTGGGAGATGGCTGAGATCACGCCCATCTCTCCGTCCCCCAGCACGCCTCCTTCGTGCCAGTCTCTTCCTCCCCCAGTGCGCCCACAATCATGCCTGTCTCTCCCCCCCACCCCGGGATGACGGGCATGTGCTGGGATGACAGGCGCGATCTCGGTCGGGTGGGGGGATGGCCACGCCTGTGCTTGGGGTGGGGTGGGGAGACGGCCGCGATCTTTGTCGCCACTTTGTTTTACATTTTTCTGATTTAAAAAATGGTTACAGAACGGATTAACCTTATTTACACTGAACCTTATGGGGAAATTTAACTCGGCTCACGACCAATTTGGGTCACGACCAGAGTCCTAGAATGGATTAAATTCGTGAGCCAAGGTACCACTGTAAGTGGAAATCCTAGTCTAAATCTCATCTCAATCTTTAATGCATAAGAGGCTTTAAGAAAATCATCCTCGGCTGTCCAATCTGTCAATACGAGGATAAAAAAACACCAGGGCAATGGTCCCCAACCCCTTTGGGCTGGTGGGAACACCTGGAATTTAAGAGTGTGGACAAACTGGCTACCTTGCCCATTCATAAAATGGTTTCCATGGTGAACAGGGCCAGTCACTGATTTGCTCCTTTTCTAAAAGGAAACTGTTAAAACTTGCCCAAATACGTAACTACAAGGCAAAGGTCCACAGAGGGTTTCTTCAGAAGTGGTCTCACCACCGCTTCTTTCAGATGGCCAGGGACTACTCATTCTGGTAAAGAAGCATTAATCACCTCCCTGGCCAGGGCGTCTAAGGAATAATCCTTCATGACTGATCTACTGTATCTAAGAACCAATGCCCCATTAAACATACTCCACACTCCTAAAACGGAGGTCACATGGATCCCCCAAGGAACTATTCTCATACCCCCTTTGCTCTGCAGCAGTCCCCAGGAAAACCTGCCTACACCAGCTTCCTGATATTTTGGGCTGTGGCAAACCAATTTTGTGCATCCACTACTATCAGCTTCTGAGATGAAGCTGCAAGACATAGTAAATGCAGTGCTACAGCACAAAAGGAGTATTCAGTGTGTGGCAGTGGATGTACCTAACAAATTTGTCACATCTTCACATGGGCAGTTGCACAAGCAGAGAGTTTTGATGTAGCTACCAAAAAATGTAAGTTGATAGCATCGTATAAAACTGCCCCCCATCCTACCCAGATAGTTCTATGGTTTGGTTGCACTCTAGCAAGTCCATGAATCAAAACGGGATGGAGCAGTGCATGGGAACTGCTAACAATTCTGCTGAATCCTATTAAGTTCTACAGGACCAAGTTAAAAGTAAACAAACTGGGACCATCAGGAAGAGCAAGCAGATTTCACCCCCACCCCTTTGAAAGTTATCCTTGGAATTCATCCCCAATCCTTTACATTACCCAACATTAAATATCAAATTGCTTTTCATTCATATTTGCTCCTGGGGAGCGAAGGAGCAAAAAAAGTTACCTTGGACACTGAGTCACTCGAGTGAGTTACCCACTTCTGGAAAACATCTGCCAAATAGGCAGAGCCAAATACTTTACAGGTGATTGTACAGGTGAAGACTACTTTACAGAGTCTTCCAAGTTAGGGGTGGAGTCTGGTAAAGAGCGGGGCTCAAATTACTACCTGTTTCATACTGCATACCAAAATTGAGGTAGAGACACAACAAAGATTAAATGCTCTACTCCACTGGTTCTAATGTCAGGCATCCTGTTATTAAATATTAATCAACACAGCAGTAACTTAGAAAAGCTGCATCTTCCTTGATCAAAAATACAGTCTATAAGAACCCTCCTGCAACAGAAGGAATATTCAGTCCAACATCCTGCCTTCTGGACAGCTCCAGGAATCTCACAAGGAGCAGGCATCCTACTATTGTTTCCCAGAAACTGATACTAATAGGTATACAACTTCTGATCCTAGATGCTCCATCCAACCATTGTGACTTGCAGTCATTGATTTTCCCTATGATTTGCTTAATCCTCTTTTAAAGGCATCTGAGGGTGTAATCCTATGTGCATTTAGACAAATAAAATCCTACAACTCCCAGCATGCTCCAGTCAGCCCAAAGCACACTGGAAGTTGAGGAGTTTTTTTTACAGACAAGCATACAAAGTACTGTACCCTAAGCCAGTGGCCATGACTACATCTTGCAGCAGCAAATCCTATAATTCTGTATTGTCTGAAGTATTGCATTCTCCCTTTCCTGAAGCTCCTCATTGCTCAGTTTCAATGGGTGACCACAATCTCGTGAGGATAGTGGGGCAATCTTCCCTAAGCTGGCTGAAGTCTATAGTCCAATGCATCTGGAAGCCATTAAACTGGGGGAGGCTGAATTAATGTCAGAGTAGGACAGGGGAAATCCATGTGTTCCTCCCAGATGATATTTTATTGTTACCATCTTGCTTCCTTGGCAGAATTTTATGGAGGCGGGGGCTATCCCTAGACAACGTCACCTTCCATTCCTAACCCTCCTGTGTCTTCCAACTACCTCCCCTGTCTCCCTCCCACCCCCTTACTAAATAGTAGTAAGTTTATTGTATTTAGCAATAGGCCATTACAAATTTACACAAGCAAACCAGCAATTTAACAGATAAAACCGTAAGTCTAATGTAGCAAAACATAATACTAAAAGGACCAGCCATAAATCAGGACAGTATCCCCTTCAAAGCCTCCCTAGTTCTTATCTTCTTAGCTGCAAGGGCAAAAATACAACAGTGGGACCAGCTGCCTGGAGAGGTGGTGGGCTCTCCCACACTAGAGGCATTCAAGAAGAAACTGGACAGGCATCTGAGTGGGGTGGTATAACGTGGTATCCTGCAACAGCAGGGTGTTGGACTTGATGGCCTTCATGGCCCCTTCCAATTCTTCTATTCTATGATTCTATGAAAAAGAGAAACTCTATAAGGCAAATATGTGACAGCATCTGATACCAAGAACACTAGTTTCTCAGAATCAGAATAAGCATTAAAGGCAAGTAGGATGCACCCCTTTACTATGGAAAACCCATTTAGGAAGAGAAGATGAACTACATGAACAATGCTTTTGAAATGTTAGTGCCAGGACTCCGGAAGCATCCCAGGTTCAGATCAGACATGATGCTTCCTCCAGTCCTCTAGACCTACCCTGTAGAGTCATTGTGAGGATGAAATGGAAGGGGATGAACTTAGCATTGTATCCTGTGCTCCTGAAAACTGGGATAGAAATGTAAACAGTAACAGCCACTGTGGTATAGAGGTTCAAGTGTTGGGCTGGGATGTGGGAGATCTGGGTTCATTCCATTCAGCCACGATACTCACTGGGTAACTTTGGGCTGTCCGCTGACCTCACAGGGTTGTCAGGAGAATAAACCAAGAAGGACAACCATGTAAGCCACTTGGGTTTCCTTGCAAAAGAAAGGCAGGTTATCAATACAGATACATACAAAGAATAAAAAAAGCTTTAGTTACCACTTGGCCATGAAGCTGACTGAGCACCTTTGGACCACACTGACTCTCAGCCTGGCCTACCTCATGGCTATGGGCAGCATAAAAATGTAATAACGGCAATAATAAGGTTGTTATGGGAATAAAATGGAGACGAGGAGGCTCACATACAAGCCACCTTGGTCTCCTTACAAGAGGAGAGAAGACAGGACAGATAAATAAATAAAATGGAGAGGAGGCCCTTGTGAGCCAACCTGGGTGCTTTGCAAAGGAAAAAGGACATATTAACAGCAGCAATAACAACACAAACACAATACTGACAGGAGGCCGAGCGTGTGAGCTAACCTGGATTCCCCGCAAGAAGAACAAAAGGCAGGAACCAATGCAAACAATAACGAGATTTCTCTCGATCCATTTTCCCCACAACACGCCAAACCCCACCAGCCTCTCCCGTTCGCTGCCCCGTTGGACCAAACACCGCGGGTCAACTCAACAGCCCCAGACGCTGCGGCCTCGCCGCGCAGGGGAGGTGCTAGAGCCCCTTCAGGGCCTGGGGGCTTGTGGCGGCCGAACGGGCCAGGGGGCAGCAGGGCCCGATCCAGACCCCCTCGCAGCCCCCTGCCGGCGACCCCGCCCCCGGTCTCGGTCCCCACACGAAGGGGAGGAAAGCCACCCTTCCCTTCCCGACTCACCGAAGCCGCTCGGCCTCCCGCATCAAACTCACGCCATGCTCCAGCCGGCTCTCCTCAGAAGCAACACCGACTTCAAGCCTCCCTCGTGCGCATGCACGTAAGCTCTGCCGCCATCTTTGAAAGTGGCACGCCATATTTCTGGAAGCGTGAGTCGCCATCTTTGTAATGGGCATAGTGTATTTATATGGAACGCTTTTCCCGACAAAGAAGAGCGATTCGCCATTTTTGGCATGGGCATATCAAACATCCCTGTGCAAGGAGTATTTTTTTCCACAGGAAGAGGAACAGCGAATCCGCCAATCCAAAGGAGGCTTCATAGTTGTATCTTTAAATTTGGGGTTGTATTTCTAACCAGTTTGAGAACTGAGACTAGTCTGATGTCAAAAGGTTAACCAAGCCTAGAATTCCAAAGACCAGTCTGGAACTCATGAAATTATTTACCTTTTGCACGTAGTCAGTCATTGTACACACACCCACACACATCAGTTGTGAAACAAAACATAACGCCCACAGTAAGCACTCAGCGCGCGACCACACGACCAGTCACAAGCCGAGCAGCGCCATCACAACCAGCGCGGACGAAGTGCGCATGCATCGGATTCGACACACGAGCAGTCCGCGTGCACCGTTTTAATGATTTTGCCGCTGACCTGCTACACTTGACAGGGCGATTCAAATCCACGTGGACCAAACATCAAATTTTCAAAAGTTACTTTTAAAACTTGGAAAATTTGTTGGAAAAAGGTGCTGGAACTCCGTTCCTGTGCGTTCTATGACAAAAAAAGCACTGCCAAAGACCTTTACATAGTTGTGAGCCCCACTGAATTCAAGGAGTCTTATTTGCCTAGGGTTGTACTATAATAAAATAACTGAACCTTATTTATTGGTTACTCAGATTAAAAATATAGGTTGCTATTTTGCATTGCTCTTTTTAAGGGTTTTTTTTTACACCAAATAAGGTGTAATTAGATGCCAAATACACATTTTAATATAAGGAAAACATTTGCAGAACAAACCCTACAATGATGATGACAATAAAAATTTATTAGAACCTTTTCTTGTTCAAAGATTTCAGGGGAACCTCAAATGTGCAAGAAACTGAAAACCACTAAAACAATTATTATTATTATTATTATTATTATTATTATTATTATTATTATTATAACATTTCTATGCCGCCCCTTGCCGAAACCTCGGGGCGGCTTACAACATGATAAAATACATTGAAATACAATAGTACATAATAAATTACCATTAAATACAAAAAATACATTGATTTACAAATATAAAATTAAAATTATCAGTATAAAATAAAAATATAGGAGGAGAAAGAGAAGGAAGAAGAAGTTGCCCTGGCCAGATCATATGTTTTAACAATTGAAATGATGTTTAAATAAAAAGGTCTTTACCTGGCGCCGAAAAACCAGTAACGACGGTGCCAGGCGGACCTCTTTGGGGAGTGAATTCCATAGGTTGGGCGCCACCGCAGAGAAAGCCCTCCTCCGGGTACTTACTCTCCTAATTTCTTTCATGGAGGGTTCACGGAGAAGGGACTCTCCCGCAGATCTCAAACGGCGGTCGGGCATATACGGACGTAAGCGCTCGTTCAGGTAGCCAGGACCCAAGCCGTTTAGGGCTTTATAGGTCATAATCAACACCTTGAATTGGGCCCGGGCTTCAATGGGAAGCCAGTGAAGCTGACGGAGGACTGGAGTCATGTGAGCATAACGCCCCATCCCCGTCAGCAACCTGGCAGCTCTATTTTGCACCAATTGAAGTGTTCGGACTGTCTTCAGGGGAAGCCCCACGTAAAGTGCGTTACAGAAGTCTAGGCGGGAAGTCACCAGCGCGTGTGTCACCGTCGCCAGGCAGTCGTACTCCAGGTAGGGGCGCAGCTGATTAATCAGCCGAAGCTGAAGGAAGGCGTTCCTCGCTACCGCTGTCACCTGAGCTTCCAAAGAAAGCTCCGGGTCGAGGAGTACTCCTAGGCTGCGGACCTTATCCCTAAGAGGGAGTGTTGCACCATTCAGGACCAGGTCAAATCCACCCTCTCCGAAACCCGATCCGCCAACCAACAGGACCTCCGTCTTGTCTGGGTTGAGTTTCAGTTTATTTGCCCTCATCCATTCCCTTACCTCGGCCAAGCACCGGTTCAGCACAGCCACTGCCTCACCTGGATTAGTGGAAAACGAGAGGTAAAGCTGGGTATCATCAGCGTATTGATGATTCCGCAGCCCACACCTCCTGATGACCTCTCCCAGCGGTTTCATATAGATGTTAAATAGCAGAGGGGATAGAATGGAGCCCTGTGGTACTCCATGGCATAACTGCCATGACGTAGAGACATGGTCCCCCAGCACTACCTTCTGGAATCGACCATTGAGATAGGAGCGGAACCACTGCAGAGCAGTGCCTCCAACCCCCAATCCCGCAAGTCTATCCAGAAGGATACCATGGTCAATGGTATCGAAAGCCGCCGAGAGGTCCAGAAGAACCAACAGGGATGTACTCCCCCTGTCCTTCTCCCTGCACAGGTCGTCGTACAGGGCGACCAAGGCAGATTCAGTACTGTACCCGGGTCTGAAGCCGGACTGAAAAGGATCCAGCTAATCAGTTTCATCCAAGAGTGCTTGGAGTTGTCCCGCCACCACTCGCTCCAACACCTTGCCCAGAAACGGGATGTTGGCCACAGGTCTATAGTTAGTGGCCATCTCTGGATCCAGTGACGCTTTCTTCAGGACCGGTCGTATTACCGCCTCCTTTAAAGGGGCAGGCACTCGACCCTCCCTCAGAGAAGCGTTAACCACTTCCAAGATCCAGGTCCCAATCCCGTGCTTGGAGTTATTTATTAACCAAGACGGGCAAGGATCCAATAGGCAAGTGGTGGGATGTACTCTTCCAAGCACCTTGTCCACATCATCGGGCCGCAATAATTGAATTCCTCTAATAATTTTGGACCAGACGGTAGCATTGGCGACTCCTCAGAGACCTCTGATTCATTAGTGGAGTCCAGCTCGTGACGAATCTGAGCGATTTTCTCCCTGAAATGCCTGGCAAAGTCGTCACAGCGGGCCTTTGAGGGTAGCATCGGATCTTCCTTAGGACCCAGGCAAACCAGGCCTTGCACCACTCGAAAAAGCTCCGCCGGACAGCATTGTGAGGAGGCAATGGAAGCGGAAAAAAACTTCTTTTTCGCCGCCTTCACCGCCACAGCATAGGCCCGATAGTGGGCTCTCAAGTGTGTTCGGTCAGATTCATCCCGTGATTTCCTCCACCTATGCTCTAGCCGTCTCCCAACTCGCTTCATCGCCCGCAATTCAGGTGTATACCAAGGGGAAGAGCGGACTCTGCCCGGTGGGAGAGGACACTTAGGAGCGATCGTGTCCACAGCCCTGGTCATCTCTCCGTTCCGCAGTTCGACCAGAGCCTCGACAGGAGCACCAGTCTTGTCAGCCGGAAACTCCCCCAGGGCCTTCAGGAATCCATCCGGATCCATCCGGCTCCGGGGGCGGGCCCATACAATCGGGTCCGCACTCTTATAGAGGGAGAGGCCGCTCTCGAGCACAAACCTCACCAGGAGGTGATCTGACCATGACAGGGGAGTCAAGCATAAATTCCTCACCCTCAGACCACCCTCTTCCTGCCCCGTGGAGAAAACCAGGTCCAGAGTGTGTCCACGTTCATGGGTCGGGCCAATGACGTGTTGAGACAGGCCCATGGCCGTCATAGAGGCCATGAAGTCCTGAGCCGCCCCGGTCAGTCCAGACTCGGCATGGAGATTGAAGTCCCCCAGGACCAACATCCTGGGGGTCCTCAACACCAGGTCCGAGACGGTCTCTGTCAGCTCAGATAGGGAGACCTCATAAACAAATAAAATCCCATAAAACCATGGGAGCTTCATTGGCTACTCAACTAAAGCATTAATGATCCCATCATATTCCAGCAAAAGCTTGGGGATAGAGGGAAGTCTCAACCTGATGGTGAAAAGGCGAGAACATTGGCACCAGGCGGGTGTAATCAGAGCTTTCCTAGATTGGCAGGCCACCACCAAAAAGGCCCTCACTCTTCTTGTTATCCTCTAACTCTCCCACAGAGGTGTCACTTGGAGGAACACCTTGGGTGATCATCATATAGTAGAGCAGGTTCCTACCGGTACAAATTATGTCGAAGCACCAGGACAGGTAGCAATGCATCAATAATTATGGAGATAGAATAGTAACAGAAAGAGAGGAACTACCCTTGGTCAAATCCAACATGACTCTTTATTTATGCCTTCCTTGGAGCAAGTGCCATTGAACAGAAATGGGGCACCTTCCTTCACCCCACCGGAAAGCAGCAGACTAGTTTAGCAAGCATAGGGCCTTTTGTGGGGCACAAAGCTCCCCAACACCTTGCTGCCGGAAGCTCTGTGACATTGGTCACACACATGCTTACCTGACTGTAGCTGGCTTGAGGAAGTCTGTCTCGGGAAGAATGAAATGCCACAATCAACTCCATCTATGTACGAATATGAAGCAGTGCGTGCACACCCTCAGTCACGTGCAGATGGCATTATACGTGTGTGAGCACCGTGCACCTGACAATCGTAGACAATGTGCTCCACCTGGCAGTTGGTGGTAGTCAGGTGGCCAAGGCCAAGCTAAATCTGGTGGCAAGTCTCCTGGGAGGTCGGGACAGAGGTCGGAGGGAGAGCCAGCAGAAGACAGAGCTACCTGGTGTGCTGCCCTTGGCTGCAGCCCTGTTGCCATTGTTGCAGTGAGATTCAGCTGCCCACCTGGTCATCTTTTGCTTGTGGAATGGTGGTGGAGCTGGGTGTTCTTTCTTTCTTCATGCAGCAAAATGTCCTGAGTCAATGCTGGCCTTTACAGCTGAACTGTATAACCCGTATGTTCTCGTTAATCTTAAAGAAATTTCACTATCGTTGGCAAGTTAGCAAGATCAGAGCCAGGGTCAAGGGTCCACACCTCAGCGAGTTTCTACTGATGAGAACCTGTCTCCTGGACTGTCTTCTCTTCTCCCCTGCTGCAACCTCCTAACCCACCTACTCTTTGCTTTGGCCCAGTGGGCAGTGGTGGAGAGGAAAACACAGAAGCCGCTCTGCACTTGCCCACGGGCTCTCCAGCAAGTAGTTGCAAGGATGCAAAAGAGGATGAGCAGCAGGAGCGCCTGCTGACCACGGTGATAAGCAGGTAGACGCCTTGAGGGAGGGCTCCACTGAGGATGCCTTGCCCAGAGGGCCTCAGAAACCCGGTCTATACTCCTCATGCAACAAAAGGGACTGCCACAAGGACGGCCTTAGCATTGCCACACAGTAAACCTCCCCCTCCCCAAATGCATTCCTGCATAAGCAGAGGGAAGAAATGCTGTTTGGCCCTTTTCTCAGAAATCTTCCAGCTGTGCAGGTAATTGCAAAGGTGAAAATCCTCCACCATGGGGAAAAGGGGCTGAAAGTTTTGCTACCACTAGGGGACACTAAGCAGACATTCTAGGCTAGGAGAGCTCTTCAAGAAGGACCATGTTTTGCTCCTTCAGTAGAAGGAAGTAATCCCCCCACCCCCGGTTTGTGCCTGGGTTTCACTGTGGTATAACCCTGCCGATATGTGACTGGGTTGCACTGCAGGGCAACCTTGGGACCCTCTTTTTTAATGTTCCGTTATGGATCACGTTGAACCCACTAATAAAGACAGTTTTTGGAGTATTGGCACACGGTCTTACTGAGAATTCTGGCTAACTGCTGCACACTGGAATGAAGTGGAAGGAGGATATATTTTCCAGACGAGATGTAGGTTCAACACACCTCTTTTTGGAAATTAGCCAGTGAGATTCCTTCAAAATTTAATGGATATTTTTAAAAAATGAGGATTATTAGAGAGGTTTTAAGATCAGTTTATTAGGAATTTGTTGAGATCACTAATGACAGAGCCAGTGAACAGGTTAGAATTTTATTTATCCACCTCTCAGAATTCTAGAATTTGGAGTCATCTAATGAAACTGATAGAAAAAAGACTAAGGACAGATAAAAAGAAGTACTCCACACAGTATGCAGTTGATTTATGGTAAAATGTGGTGATTGCAATGTGTAATATGTAGGACTCCCTTAGCAAATGATCCAGAAACTTCAGCAGCTCAGAGAGACTGTTATTGGGGACTGGCTGATGTGATCGTATGAGGCCAGTCCTCCACCGTCTACACTGACTTCCTGCCCAGGTCCAGGCCTGATCCAAAGTGCTTGGATTAACATTCAAAGCTACTATTTCATTGAACGCTAGGAGAAACCTTGTAATGCTAAAAGCCTCAATCATTTCCTATTATTGGAACCCGTTACCTAGGGGGTTGGTGGACTCTTTGGCAATAGAGGCCTGAGTGAGATTATGTGTACGGTCAATCAGAATTCAAAATTATTGGTTATGCTGAACCTTATAATGCAGATGATTTATACATTCTGGTGATCTGTCTGACTAAACAGTGAACTGGTCAAAGTCTGAATTTATGCTGATATTATACTTCAAGATACATTAACTCACTGGCAATTTTGATGATGCCCAGATTTTATTATGTAATTGAGAACACTTATTCTCAGAAACATTTTTCAAATGATGAAGCTAAATTTGAGTAAGGTGGCTAATGCATGGGATGGATATTTAAACTGAGTTTGTGGGGCAAGATTGAAACTCTTAAGATTAATATTATACCTAGGATTGTCTATGTTTTATGTGGCATTCCTCCACTTACAGTATTTTCCAAAACTTAACTCTCTGGTAAATTTCTCTTGGGAACCTCCCCACCACAAAAATCTTTGAAATGGATGCAGCTTCCAACTAAAAAGAGGTCTGGATATTGACCAGTTCTAAATTCCAGTCTTTGCTATTCCGATCAGATCATCCTGCTTGGCATCTTTATGTCTGAATCAGTTCTCCAAATGGATGGCATTAGATTCTTGGCATATTTGTTTGGATAGGGTTCTTCTCTGACCAGAGAGGGGTGGCATATAATACCCCATCAATTAGTTTGATCCATTCGCTCATGCTAGGCTATGAAAGAAACCCATACATGATACTATGGGGAAACCCAGATTTAAAGTTGGTAGGAGGATTATATTAACAGACAAGTGTTTACCTTGGCTCAATTAGTGGGTTTGGATGACAAGTTTCTGTCCTGCATGGCTTTCTGTGCTGAATATTATGTTTGTTCTTACTTACAGTCGCAACACTTGTTGGGATCTAGATTTATCCCTGCTGCTTTCACAGTTTCAGAGTCTCCTTTGCAACTGAAACCACAGATGGAGGCCGAGCCATTATCAACCTACAATCCATGTTTCTAAATACAAGCCATTATCAACCAACAATCCATGTTTATAAATATGAGGAGAGGGGTTGGGTTAGGTTACTTAGAAGACTGAAGCTCTGCGATGCTGACCCAGATGACAAAGATCCAATCTGCAGTGTGCAGTATTCTTAAAATGGAATAGGGGAATCCATAGACCTATCAGCCCTGTTCCAGATTTTGAGCTTTTGGGGGTTCAGTTAGCGTAGTAACATCATCCTGTCTTCAAGCCCTCCTCCTCTATTTAAAATTATGTTTTGTTTTGCTAAAATTCCAACCCAATGAAGAGTTCTGTCAAACCCAAAAGCTTGCCTGTTTCTTAGTTGGTCCTAAAATGTCCCACTTTGGTCCCACCCCAATATATTTAGAATCAGGGCAGCAGCATTTTATTTCTGTAGCCATGGTAGTGTTATGCTTCAACTGAGTTTCAAATGCAGAAGTGCACATGCTTCCTCCTTATTAGGATTGCCAAACAGGATCCTTCCCACCCACAGGCTCTCTTAAACTTACTAGGCACGAACAACCTGTCATAAATCACGCCTCCCGTTTTCTCTGCCCCCTGATTTTTATATTATTACTATTCTTACTCCACTTACACCCCACCTTTTTCCTCTTGCAAGGAATCCAAGGAGACGTAGGTCATCTCCCTGCAGTCCAGTCTATCCTCACAACGAGGCAGGCTGGGCTGGGCTGGGGAAGAGCGACTGGCCCAGTGACACCTGCGGAGCACCGCACGGCTGCGAGGCGGGCCTAGAACACAGGCCTCCCGGTTTCCACTAAGCACCACGCCACACCGGACGAGGCCGCCGCCGCCTGGCTGCAGAAAGGCAGAGGGGAAGCGCGTGCGCGCCAAGCGGCGGCTCGACGCGGCGCCCGCGGGGCGGCGGGACACCTGGCAATCGGGGCCCGGCCCAGGTGGGGCCGCCTGGACGGCCCGGGCTCCCGCCAGGTGGCCGCTCTCCTCCCGCGCGCCCGCGAAGCGACTGCGGAAAGCCGCGCCGGCTGCTCTCCCCGGGCCGCCGCCAGGGGCAGGAGGAGCGCTGCGGCCGCACGTTGTCGGGCGGCCAGGCGGTGCCGCTGGGGACCGCGGTTGCCATTGGCTCCTCACCTGATGCTTTGCAGCCCCTGAACGGATTGGCCGAGAACAGCCGGGATTTTTTTCCTTTCCCCTCCTCCTCCTCCTCCCTCGCGTGCTGCTGCGATTATTATGACTATGATGAATCTCGTCCCCTGCCTGACGCCGTCTTCTTTCGGGGACCTGCCGGGCTTGTAGCGTCCCCAGGGGGCAAAGGAGCGGAGACCCGGCTCAGGGCGCGCGCGCGCTGCGTGTCTTTTATTTCCCCGGTATTTTTATTTCGTATGGGGCTTTCTGGCATGGGAAGAAGGTGCTGCAGGATCTAGCCGGAGAAACGGCTTCTGCAGCCAAGTTTCTGCCCCGGGAACGCGCGTTTTTGGCAAGCACTCCTCGCCCGGGTCATTACCGTGCTCCTTCTCTCTCTGACTCTCTCTCCGCTTCTGAATCGAGGCGTGCTCCCAACGCAACCGCAACCACGTTAACTTCTCAGAGGTCCGGGGTCTCCTGCGGAGCCAGGTAAGGCGATCATCTGCTGGAGAGAGAGAGATTGTTTTTTTAGGACTGGACCAGAAAGGGAACCTTCCTGCCACCCCCACCACAAAACACTCACAGAGAGACCGTGTGGCATGAATGTTGTAAGAGGGCTGGAGACCCCAAGGTTTAGCTCTCCACTCCTTATGGAGTGACCTTGGGTCTTATCCTACCTCATAGGGTTGTTGTGAAGGGACAGGCAGGAGGAGACAGAAGCATATGTGTCACCTTGAGCTCTTCCCAGGAAAGCCAGTATCTCAAACTTAAATAATATTAAGTATGCTTATATAGTATGACTGTTCTTACCTGCAAAAGCTCCCTGCCCCAAGGAGATTTACAGCAGTCCAGATTTCAGCAATACAAGGAAGAAAGAGAGGGTAGGGCAAACTTCCTCTTATGTCCTGAACTGGCCTCTCTGACAAGGACTCCCTTCATAGCCTTGGGCAACTCACTTCATCCCCTCCGAGGATGTATTTTTTTCAAGCCCCCTTGTCTTCTGGCATTTTCTTTTAAATCCACCTGGTCTTCTTCTTTGCTTCTTGTAGGCAGGCAGGCAGGCTATGGTAATGTTTTCATCTGCGGGATTGGTTTGCAGGGGCACCTTTTTCCAAGGAGAATTAATAGTGTGGATAAGAAAGGCTGTAGGAGCAAAGCTCTCCTGCACTAGAGAACTGGCTCCCCTGCAGCAGTCGCAAAACACTGCAGGACAGACAGAAGGAATCCGGTCTAACCACAAAGCCAGAAGGGAGGACACAGGTCTTGCTCACTTTGCTATCTGCTTAATGAAGGCAACGGGACTTATCTAGCTGAATTCCGCTTTCTGCAAGGAAATGACCTTCCCTTCCTCCTGCAGTTCCTCCAAACAGAAAAAAGGCCAAGAACTTGAACTGGGTTCCTGTGAAGGAGGGACTGAAGGTGTTGCAAAAACCCAAAAGCTAAGGGGCCGAGAGAAAGTAGGATGAAGGGCACAGAGGGAACCCTTGAGTGGGATGGTGCAGCTGTGCTTGGTGTGCCGCATGACCTGGTGCAAGCATGTAGTTTCCCGAAGGCAAACATGTATATTTGGACGCGCATGGGAATTTGGTACGTGCAACTCTGTGTGCTTGGATGCGCATACTTGTGGCTGGAGACCAGGTGCCGAAGAGGATGAGGACACGCTTGCGTAAGACCAAGTAGGTGTCATAAAGTGAGACAACATTATTTGGTGCACACTGCGATAAGAATGTATGATACATTGTCACATGCATTTTGTCACAGACTGTGTGCAGAGGTGTCACAAGGGTGTCCTTTCAGAGGCAGTGTGGCATTATGAGCGCCGTGCCAGTCCAGGATTTGGAAGTCCTGAGTTTGAATTCCGACTCACTCAGAAAGCTCACTGGTAGACCCTTATTTGGGCCAGTCACTATGCCTTATCTGAACCAACCTTACAGGGTTGTTGTGAGGATAACTTGGGGGAAGTGGAGAAGCCTGTATGCCAGCATGAACTTCTTGAAGGAAAGGTGGGATATAATTGCAATAGCAACAAAATAATAAACGGGAAGGATGTTTGTGGTGGGAAGAGGAGATCCTCAAAGTCATTTTGGGTATGGCTCAAAGCGTGTATAAAATCTTGAGGAGCTGGTATGTGTGTGTGTATTCATTTGGATGTTCATGCTGGCAAAATGTTCAAACCTGGTATACCAATTTAAAGCTGGAGGAAATGTATTGCTAAGTGTCCTGTTTCCCGAACTGTGTGGGTTGGTTCTAATCTGTGTGCCCAAACGCAAGAGCACACGGGAGCAGTCTTGTGGGTTGCATGTGACTGGCACACACTGCCATGAATTCACAAGTCCTTTGCTGACGAGGGTGTGCATGCTCAGCTACAAGCGGAGGCGTCAGCTTGTGGCGGTGAAAGTATGCATGCATAATATATGTAGTAAGTCCTCACAGCTGGTTGATTAGGAGTGGGTTTGAAAGCATGGAGGTGTGAAGCTCTGGAGAGTTGCATGCGTGTATATAGGGGCTGCAGGTATGAGCGAGGCTTAGCTCAAGCGGGCAGGGGGCTATGTGCATTTCCTTGGCTGAAAGGGAGTCAAGCAAACATTACTTCTTCTTCTTATTACTATTATTACTTTTCTATATTGCCCATACCCGAAGCTCTCTAGGCCATTCACAACATTTAAGTCTCCCATCCAGATTTCAGCCCAGTCCAGCCCTGCTTAGCTTCCAAGATTAGGCAGGATCAGGCACTTCAGGCTATACAGAACATGGAGTGGGGCACCAACATACATTTCACAATAAGAGTGTGAACGCAGAACTGTATCTATTCAGGATGGGAGAGTCGGTGGAAATGCAGAGATAAGACTGTAGACGGCACACATGTTGCCCCCACGCACTGAATTCCAGCTGTGAGCAAGGGGAGGGGCATAGGGTTGAAGCCCACTCCCAAGGATCTCCCCCAGTTTGCAAATTTGTTAAATAATAACTAGCTATGCAGGCCTAAAAGGTGTGATGGATCTGTATATTTTTGCCCTGCAAGTTGTAACAAGCACAGGCAAATAGGTGTGTGTGTGTGTGTGTGTGTGTGTGTGTGTGTGAGGGAGGGAGGGAGGGAGGGAGGGAGGGAGGGAAATTCACCAATGTCCGAAATATTCACATTTTAGAAAGATTCAAGGTCATTTCTTGCCATTACTTAAAAAACCTCTTCATAATTGTTGCAATATTGTCAGTACACCACCAGTGCATTTTAAAATTTACTCTTAAACATTCTTTCCCTCCCATGCACCCCATCTGTGCTTCCAGACACAAGCACCCTCCATCATCTATAAAGAGCACAGAAACACTTGTAATAGCTCATAAAGATAGTCACTCAGTGAACTGGTCCTTTGGAAGAACACTTGTGCGTATTCTGAAACACAGGGAGGGTAAAATGCACAATACAAAGCTCAGGGGAAAGTTTCGAGTACAGGAAACCGTGTTATTTTATGCAGTATTATGTGCCATCAGTTTGTCTCCAGCTTACGGAGACCTCTAAATGCAACCCGTCCTCCCTCATCCTGCCCAACTCGGCAAAGTCAAGGCCTTGTTTTTCTCGTCTCTCTCATATTTGTCTGTTTCTGCCTTTCACAGGTATAAGTTCCTGCTTTACATGCTTCGTTGGTAGAACAGTCTTTCAACTTAGCTTAGTGTGCGGGTTGTTTTTGAGGTTGTGAGATAAGATAATAATATGTAATGATGCTCAAATAAGGCTTAGTACAATGAAAAGAAAAATAAGAAAGCAGCCAATTTCAAGATTGACGTGAATACGCAGAAGTCTTGTCGCCCTAGAAAAAGGAACACAGAAATCTGCTTTATGATTCACTGGCTCATATAAATCTTGTCTCCCTAGCCTGGCGATCCTTCTCTCAAGGGTTTCGGTTAGAAGCCTTTCTCCGCTCAACCTGGGGATCAAGGCAGGGACTTTCCCACACGAAGCAGGTGCCCTGCTTGGAGCTATGGGCCCTCCTTATCAGGTCGAGATGAGTGTGTTTGGGTATCATTTTGCCAGGTTGGAATCTCATTTGCAAGTGCACGGCAGCTCAGTGCTGTGGGCCACTCTCTTGGAGCTGAGCGGGGAGCAATTCGCCCCAAGCAATCAGCAGACTGGCAGTTGGTTCCCCACCTCTCCTTTTGCACTTGGCTTTAAGAGGGACAACGTGCCTGCAGTCACTGAGAGAGAGAGAGAGAGAGAGAGAGAGCGCGCGCGCGCGCGCGAGGTGATGATTTTCCAAGCTGCTGCTGTTGGCTTGAAAGGAATGAGCAAGTGTGCTGGTATCACACCATATGGCTGGGTGAGGGGTAAGAAGAAGAAAGAAGCGTGGGGGGAACGGCACTGAGAGGTGGTTTAATGCTCCCATTGCTGAATGCTGCTGTGAGTTGCGTTGCTTTCATAGTTATTCCTTCAGAGCAGGGAGGTTTCCCCACTAAAGCTGCAATCCTAAATTTGTGGGACTTACTTCCAAGCAAGCAGGCCATGGATTACAATGTGAACTTCACAACAGTCCTGCAGAGTAGAGATCATGTTGGGAGAGAGCGAGGAGGACGGAGCCAAGCACAGGTCACAGCCATGCACGAGATCGGGGAGCTGGCCTCCACAGTGCCAAGGTGATCTTGGATAAGTCATTCTGCCTCTGCATGGGATCTTACTTTTGCAAACACAGCGGTCCCTCTCTTCCATTTGCAACCCTTCCCTGTTTCTCTGCCACTGCTGTTTCCATCTTTTCCTTAACCGCAGGGAATCCCTCAAGAAGGGAAAGATGGAGCACCTTTGCGATGTCTTTTGATGGGTAGTGCTAGGAACTGTCTGGAAACACCCCAGCACAGCATTAAGCACCTAAAGGGATACTGGTGCGATTGATTTTCCCACCCAGCAGTCGCAACTGGGGGATGCAGCCAGCTGCAAGCACCTTTCTGGAGGCGAGAGAGGAACGTGGCAGCATTCAGGCTACGGCAGCCGGAGATTCAGGTGTTTCTGCATGTGCGGCGGGGTTAGACCTAGCGAAACTGTCTGTGTGCACATGTCTTTCGGTGGATACCTGTAGGGACGTGAATGGAAGGGGATGGATGTGAGTGGGCTCACATCCACGTGGCAGAATGCGATGCCAGGGCTTGTGAACATGTGATCGGAGGGGAAGAGGAGGCAGTGCTCTGGAGGAGTCGCGTGCTGCTCCTGGTGGAACGGAGCCCTTGCAGGGCTCATTGGGATGATTGTTCTGGCCAAGGCGACAGATTTTCCTGCAGGGGGTGGCGTGAAGGCAAAGGCCCACCGCGGCCCTGGCTGAATCTTTTGGCCTTTCCCCCTGCTGCTACCCTGGCTTGGCTCTGCCAACTAACAGCGGAACTGTTTTGGAGGCTGTGCAGACCTGTTTGGGGGTAAGCTGCAAAGACACGAGAGGAAACGATGCAGGAGAGCCACTGCAGAGAGCTGCCTTTGCATGCTGCGTTTTTGCTCACAGGCATTGCCTTTA